GCAAATCGAAAATTTAATTCTTACTCATCCTAGTGTTTTGATGATGTTGTATGCTTGATTAGTCCTATTCTTCACTCCCATGTGAATCGCCACTTCCCCCCTTGTGATTTCATGCATTTGGGTGAATTCTACTCACTCTACTCTCACTTTCTCTCCATTTATCTACTTGGATGCAAATCGCAACTTTGATTCTTGCTCATCCTAGTGTTTTGATGATGATAAGTGCTTGATTAATCTTATTCTTCACTCCCATTAAAACGCAACTTTCCCCCTTGTGATTTCATGCATTTGGGTGAGTTCTACTCACTCTACTCTCACTTGTTCTCCATTTCTCTACTTGGATGCAAATCGCAACTTTGATTCTTACTCATCCTAGTGTTTTGATGAGGTTGTGTGCTTGATTAGTCCTATTCTTCACTCCCATGTGAATCGCCACTTTCCCCCTTGTGATTTCATGCATTTGGGTAAGTTTTACTCAGTCTACTCTCACTTTCTCTCCATTTCTCTACTTGGATGCAAATCGCAACTCTGATTCTTGTGCAATAACTCATGCCATATGTCGTCTAAGGGCCGAACGCGGCAACCCTCAGTCCTGGCCACATAAGGGGGCAAAGACCCTAAGTCTGCTACAGGGCTTGGATGCCAGGCAGTTGCCGGATTTCCAAAGGTCAAGATCAATGTGTACCCAGCCCAGGCCGCCGGTCAAGCACACACACTTGTTTGTATGCAGGTACGGGGACAGCATCCAAGCCATGTGGAAAACTGCAACTGTACACGATCCAGACCTTCGAGGACGGGTCAATCTGGACGACTCTGACTCGTGGACTGGAGGCCAGACCTCCGAGTCAAATACTACCAAAGCTGGGGTCTACAGGGAATCGACATTCAGTCTTGCTATGCTGATTCAACGCTCGTTTGACTTTGACTTGACGCTGGCATTATGCTAGCGCGATGCTGGCTGGACGCTGACTGTGCATCAGAGTTGTGGACGACGACACGAGGGAGACGCGACACTGCCATTGTGCGCCAGACATGCTGATATGGCGCTGCCTCTGGTTTATGTGTCGCTGCCTATGGTCTACATGGCATGCTGATGTGGCATTGCCTCTGGTATAAGTGGCGCTGTCTGTGGTCTACATGGCATGCTGATGTGGCGCTGCCTCTGGTTTATGCGGCGCTGCCTATGGTCTACGTGGCATGCTGATGTGGCGCTGCCTCTGGTATATGTGGCGCTGCCCATGGTCTACGTGGTATGATGATGTGGCGCTGCTCGTGTCTACGTGGCGCTGCTCTTGGTCTTCATTGATGATGTGGCATATGCCACATGTTTCGTCTGTTGATGTGGCATTGTCCACACTACTTACATGAGGTGATTGGTTGCGAGGGAGAGTAAGATCACGACTGTGGAGAGATCGTGATACGTACCTGATGACATTGCTCCAGCGCTGATGAGGGACTAATTAGAAGTGCCACGTGGCACATTGAAATTACTTCATATACTCGTTCAGACTGTTGATTACTAAAGTAGAGTTGGAGGAGGAAGCCCGAAGTAGGAGTGGGCATTGTATTTACTTCCTCTCCTTTGTCTATCCTCCCTCCTCTCTTCTTCGTCTGTGAATGATTATCTCATCTTATTCTGTCTTGACACTATCTTGATTATTGGTTCTCATCAACCGTTGACATCTATCTGGACTTGCATTGTTAACAACTGTGTTCACGATCTGGGTTCATTACAATTTGGTATAAGAGCATCTCTTCATCGCGATCTGTTGTCTAATGACAGGTGCTGACATGGCACCCAGGTAAGTGGGAGGTGCCGCGAGTGCAATATGAAACGGGTTTATTAACGCACGCGGTCATACCGCAAGTCCAGACATGGTAGTAGTGCACTTGTGAGCAACCATCCCTTGAAGATGATGACCAGGCTACATTGAAGTTTGAAGAGCTGCGTTGGCAACATGGTGACGTGGCATTGGTACCGCTGATGTGCCATATTGTTTCTTGGCAGGATATGGTCTGACATGGCACGTGTCTGTGTCATGATTACCTGCTGATTGGGCATTGACGTGACATGCCAGTGTATGCGTGTGACAAACACACATTGCTGATGTGTCATCCCCTTGTATACCTTCGGGTTCTTGATGTGCTGACGTGGCAGACTCCAACGCGTTGCTGTGTTGGCATGCCAGGGGTGACACGTGGCATTCGTTGGGTGAGTTGTCGAGTGTGTTGGTCGCTGCAGGTAGTACAGCTATAGAGAGAGGAGACTGACAATTGTTTGTGATTGTTGTGTTGGTTTCCTACTTACCTGCTGGTTGTTCTGTGGTGTCCTTGCATACTCACCTGTGTGCTGATGTCTTGATCACACAGGTCGTGGTTGCAGTACCTGCACATATACGGTAGAACGTCATCACACATAGATTAGGAAAATCAGACAGCAAACTAGTATTAGAAAATTGATAATATTTGTTTCTTTGTATTTGCCTTCAACAATTCTTGATGTAAGAGTAGCGTGCATCGTGGAATTTATTTTTGTCTTTAATTTTATTTATTGTGAGGCATTTGCATGCTAGGCAGAATGAACTCTCTTTGGAAGTGTCTACGACGGGAGGTACCTCATGCATCTTGACTCGGTTCATACCCCTCTTCTTCTTTCCCATCCCTCTCATCGTCTTTGTTGATGAAGAGAGAGTGAAACTGAAAACCCGTGGACAGATTGACGGGAGGAGACAAACTTTGTTGGGTCTCCTTCGTCAGTTGCTTGGCGAAATACTCGATGCCGGTCTAGATGCTGAACAACATGTTCACGGACAGGTCAATCTGCGTGATGCAGAAGGAGATCTGCAGGCCGATGAAACTGCTGTTCAGATGATGGAGACAGGCCAGAGAGTCGAAAAACTCATAAAGCAAGGACGATTAGTCCTTGATCGATATGTCGCCGAGAGCCTTGAAAAATTAGACCGGGAAAGAAAAGAAAAGAAAGAAGAGAGGGTTGGAAGAAAAGAACCACAATTGTCTGTGGAATTGATGGAGGAAAACATCAGACAACTTGAAAACACATTGAAAGAAGAAAGAAGAAAGATCGAAGAGTACAGAGGATTGAAAGAACAGCAAAAAGAAGAAGAGAAAGTAATGGAAGAGTTGAGGCAAAGGTTTCACTACGAAGAAGCAGGAAGTGAGGTTGCATCTATTCTCCAGTCTATCATGGTCTACCTCATGCATCTTGAAAAAAAGATTGAGATGAACACCGCCGCAGTTGAGTCCATGACCAAAATGATGAAAGGGAAAGACAAGGTGGTGTATGAGGAGGTGACCAAGGGGGAAGAAGATAAGAAACCCCAGGAGAAAATAATAAAGGATGCAATGAAACGGGTCACGCCCGAGAAACCGGAAGGTTCCAAGAAAGACCCTGAGAAGCCGGATGAAAAGAAAGAAGAACCCACCATAAAGATAGAAGAATCAGCGAAAGAACTGGAAAAGCCTAAGAAAAAGGAAAAGGTGAAAATGAAGTTACCATTCACCTACAGTAACAAGAAGGATGAAAACTTGTTGTTGTGGATTGCCGAAATCCAGACTTACTGTAGTACCGCACCCGTAGAACCCAAGAGTCAGGTTGCTTTCTCAACGTGTTGTTTAGGAGGAGTGGCCAAGGAATGGGTGTTGACCGAGGCCAATTCCGATGGCTTTGAGGATATTGGTGAGTGGGCAAAGACCCTGACGTTGAGGCAATTTCTCCAAAAGATAAAGGAGAGGTTCCTGGATAAGGCAACAGTCGATAAGGCTTTCGATGAACTCACGACGATAGGCCAGAAACGTTGGACTTTTGTCGATGCCTTGTCTCGTGAAGTGGATCGTCTTTCGCAGGTACCTCGACTGAACCTTCAAGACAACCAGGTTCTCTACATCTACTCACGTGCACTGCCCGAGCCCATTCGTGGACAGCTCGTGGCGGAAGCTAAGTCTGGGAAGTATAACTACCGACAATTTTGCGATCTCGCTCTCCAACGAGAGCAGATGACCGCGCAGGTAAAAGGTTCGTACGCTTCAGTTGTCAAGCCGGGACCGGTTGGTGGGTACGGCAAGCGGGTCCTCTGGCGGCAAAACCGCCATGATCATATGCTTGTGTTATTTGATGATGAAACAGTAGAGAAGTTACCTCTTGGTGAGACTGAGGGAGGAGGGGGTAAGGGCGGCAGTGAATGTGAGAAGGGTGATGTCACTGCCGTATTGGCCAACAAGGGATGCCAGAACCAATGGAAGAAGAAGAAGAGGCCACACTTGTTTCCCGAGCATCCCGGCATTGCGTTCGGAAGACCTTGGGAAAATATGAATATGACTAGGGAGGAGTGGCAGTCCAAGATGGACAATCGCGAGTGCCTCAAGTATGGCACCGTGGGGCATGTGATCGCTTTGTGCCCACTTATCTGTAACCCAAAAGCGAGCGGCTAGTAGGAGTAGCATCTGCTCCTACTCAGTCGAAGGGTAAAGACGAAGAAAAAGGTAAGGCGCCTACAACCCCTTCTACCCCTTCGACTCTCAAGGCAGAGGATGACTCTTCTTCCGCCCATCGTCCAGAGAACCCTGACACTGTGCTTTGTTCTGTCTCACTGGACGATTCCCTTGACAAACTCGACAATGAACTGATAGCACTACGGAGTTCATGGGCGAAGAAAGCAAAGTCTAAGGGTGAGTTAATGATCGCGGATGTTGAGATTGCGCACACTCGAGTAGGTGCTCTGTTAGATCCGAGATCGACGTGGCCTTATATCTCAAAGAAGGCAATTTGAAAATTGCATTGGGAATGAAGGTAAAAGATTTACCTAGACCTATCACGTCTATACTGGGTGATAAGAGCACGATCACTGTCTCTCAATACACCGATCGTGTCAAGTGCTATTTCAAGACAAAGGAATGTAAGAGAATTCTACACGAGGTATCCTTCTTAATTGAAAACAATTTACCCTTTGACTTAATTCTGGGTATGGATTGGCATGAGGAAGCCGACCGAGAAGTCAAGTTCAAAGATAAAATTGTCAAACTTAAGGACGATAAGTCTTAAATGCGTGTGATAAAGTTGTACCATATGTCTGGCCCTGACTCTACTCTGTCTTTATGCTGTATGAGTTATCCAACTTTCCGATCGATGGTAACAAAGAAGAAGTTGGATCAGCAGATGATGATGGTGCTTGTTAAACATGTAGGTGAGTGTTCTTCATCCTACCCACCTTCTATTGAAAAACTTCTTGACGAATACAACGACTTGCAGACTAAGCCGACGGGAATCACTGAGCGTTCTATCAAGCACACTATTGAGATTATTCCTGGAAGCAAGATTCCCAAAGGTTACATTTACCGTATGTCTTCCAGGGAACTTGAGAAGTTACGGAAACAGCTGCAGGAACTTACTGACAAGGGATGGATTCGCCTTAGCTCATCTCCTTACGGTGCACATGTCTTGTTTGTGCCTAAAAAGGAAGGTGAACTACGCCTATGCATTGACTACCGTGGGCTGAACTCCGTCACTGTGAAAAATGCGGGACCTCTTCCGCGCATTGATGACCTGTTGGACTAATTACAGGGATGCAGGTACTTTAGCAAGATTGATCTCAAGTCAAGGCACCACCAGATCGAGGTGGCTCTTGAAGATCAACACAAGACGACGTTTCGAACAAGGTATGGTCACTACGAGTTTGTGGTAATGCCTTTCGGTTTGACTAACGCCCCTGCAACCTTTCAACAGTCTATCAATGAGTTGTTTCGTCAATGGTTAGACCGATTCGTAATTGTCTATCTCGACGATATTTTAGTATATAGTAAGACACTACAAGATCACGAGAAACATCTTCGGATGGTCTTGCAGAAGTTGCGTAAAGGCAACTTCAAATTGAACCCGAAAAAGTCTGAGTTCGCTAAACCTGAAGTCTTATACTTGGGGCATATAGTAAACTAGGAAGGACTCAAACCTGAAGAAAAAAAAATTACAGCAATCAGAGATTGGCCACAACCTAAGACTGTAACTGAATTGAGATCTTTCCTAGGACTTGCCAGTTATTAAAGGAAGTTCGTTAGAAACTTCTCCTTGATAGCTGCTCCTATGAGAAGACTGCTAAAGAAAGAAAAACCTTGGTTGTGGGACAAAGATTGTGAGTCATCATTCA